ACAGAAATTTACCTTCCTGAAGAAATGGGATAAACTTTCACGGGAATTAAGACAACATTACAGGTTTTTAAACGATGGTGAGTTTTTAATGTTAACTAACAGCTTTGTCTTGTTGTATAGTGTTAGTTTAGCAAAATAATCTGTTGAATTCTGTTGCATATATATATATATATTCATATATGCATATTTGCAGATGCACAGCCAGCTTGCTCTCGAGTGTTGACGGACAATATGGCAGATGGCTTACGTATAGCAGCCAGTAGAAACAGCAGCTAATAAGACATCTACATATACATATCTATGGCTAGAACACCTTGGAAGGGTTAAAACTCCCTAGCAACTGGCTCAAACACCCTAACAAACAGCCACATTGCCTTAGCAATGCTAGAAAATTCTAGCAGCCAGCTAAGACATCTAACAATGCCTAGTAACCAGCTACAACACCCTAGCAATGCTTAACAACCAGTCAGAATAATTTAGCATCCAGCTAAAACCATCTATCTGTCACAGATTTTAATTGCCACCTTCAGTCTCATCTTTTTCTTCTTCATCTTTTTGTTCTCCATCCAGACATCCTCTTTTTCCTGTTTTTCTCTGTTCTTTCTCATACACACACAGGCATAAACTGGCAAGGATGAAGTTTGAGGATCAGAGCAGTAACACATACACGGATTATGTTACATTTGTATGTGTAGGAGGGTGAGGAGCTGATCCATGAACAGCCCGAGTTGCGATCGGTGGTGGAGATGAAGTTGAAGGAAATCAGAGAGTGCTGGTCTCACCTGGAGAACACCACCAAAGTCAAGGCCCGCCAGCTGTTTGAAACTCAGAACCACCGCACTAACGACCTGCCCTCAAACACCCTCAGCGACCTGGACCAGCATCTCAATGCCATACAGGAGCAGCCGTCCACACTAGGCTCCACCCACAGCACCCAACCCACCCTCCTTCAGCCCCGCCCCACTTTCAGCCAGCAACTCCAGAGGATAAAAGTGAGACCAGCAACAGCCACTGAACATTTTTTCTTGATTTGGATCATTTCAAATCCGTTTGTAAACTCACTTTATCTTCGTCTCTTAGTCAATGGAAGCCCAGATGCAGCTTTATCAAGGTGTTGGTGAAGTCAGGGCTGGTGCTGATCACCGGAGACCAGAAGGAGAAGAGCAAGGAGGAATGACGGAGACCCGAATCGTGCGTCTTATTGAGCCTTTGAAGGAAAGGAGGCGGATCCTTCTTGCCTCAAAAGAAATGCACCAAGTCACCCAGGACCTGGAGGATGAGATTGTAAGTGTCTCTTTCTTTTTTTTTTTTATATATAGTTGGTGATGCTTCCTAAGGCAACCAACCATTACATTTTGCACATATTGCACTGTGGACATGATGCATATCTAAAATGGTACTGCTTGTTGAAGAGTGAAGTTATTCATTTTTTAAGTAATAGAAGAACAATGAAAATGGTGAAAAAATCACTTTCACTTAAGGGACCCAAACCATACTTAGGAACCAGAATATCATATAATGTTGGGGTGAGATCAACAACCCAGTACAGCATACCAATCCATTCACTTAGTAACTCCAAAGAATGTTAGCAGCCAACTATCAATTCCTAGCAATTGCATAAAGACATGCTATAAATACTCAGAACATGATCTGAGAAAAAACTAATAGCAATTTTTCTGATAAAAGTTGTGATTTCGAACTAAAATGTGATTTTAAAAAAGCTCCAGATTTGCTGTGTTTGTAGGGTTGCAAAATTTGGCCAAAAATGTTGTGATTATATATCAATATAAATATATAATAATATTAATCATAGTAGTAATGATTATTATTACATAAAATATTAAATATAAATGTAAAATATAAATATTACTAACATAATATTTCACTATAAAATTAAAAAAGCAGATTATTTAAAAAAAAAAAAAAATTTTGTTTTAAAGGGGTGGTTCAGTGGTTTTTTCTAGGCTTGATTGTGTTTATGGGCTGCAGTCTAACATGTGTTAATGCTTCGTTTTTTTAAAAACGCATTATTTTTCAAATAATTTACCTTTATTCCACACCGCTCTGTCCCTTCTCTGAGAAACGCTCTCATCAATTTCCTGCTTTTATGAAGCCCCTCCCTCAGAAATAGGCGATGGGCTCTGATTGGTTAGCTAGCCCAGTGTGTTGTGATTGGCTAAACCGCCTCTAGTGTGCGTCTAATCGTCCCGCCCCTCTCCTCAGCGGCATGTGCTCCAGTTGTTTTGTAAACAAAGGCGTCGTTAATATCGCTTATCAGTTTGAGCTCGATTGAGAAGCAGAGGATATTATTGAAGAGGATCGTGCAGAACCTGTGCAAGCACGGCTTTTAATGGTAGGCCTATGTTTTTTGTTTGTTGTTGTCTCATACTTTTAGGTACGCTGTTATCTGTAAATGCTACTGCTTATGTTAGCTTTTAATATAGTTTTATTCTGATTAAAGCTTTAATACAGTACGGCAACTGTTTAACGCTTCTCATAGCTATGCAGGGGCGCGGGAAGATGTTTTCGGTTGGGGGTGCTGTGTGTGTCCGTGTTGGGTGCTTGGCGTTGCATTTGCAACCATGTGAAAACAGGGGGTGCTGCAGCCCCCTCAGCACCCCTACTTCCAGCGTCCCTGTAGCTATGTGAAAATAAGTGTATAATTGTAACAGTTCATCGCTGGAGCTGAGCTGAGCTGAGAGAGAGAGAGCGAGCGTGTGCAGAGCAGAGGGACACGAGGAACAGGATTGAGAACCGCTGCTTTAGAACATTGATTTTGAAACTTGTGAATCCATTAGACTCTTGTTCGCATTATGTATAGTTCATGTCTGATACCACGTGCCAGCGTCATGTGTTCATGAGGATTAGGCTAATCATCCCATATAGAAAACATCACAAGTAAAATTAA